AATGCTACCCGGAGTGCACTAAGAATACAGATCATGGGAAATCATAGTTCCACTCTACTGTGCTCCATTCAGACCCTATTTGGAATACTATGCCCCATTCTGGCACAGTTCTGGAACTGGGTCATGATAAATTGGAGCAAGATAGTTAGGAGCCTGGAAACCAAGACCTATATGTAATAGTTATGGTATGTTTTGCTTATTAAAAACATGACTGAGGGGAAGATATGACAGCAGTCTTCAAAGATCTTAAAGGCTGTTATATAGAAAAGGACAGGCCAAAACTAGTGAGTTAAATGTCTAAGAAATCAATCATTGGTTGGACACTTAATTCTACAAGTTGTCAAACTTGTAGAATTAAGTTGTTACATAAAATGGTGAATTCTCCTTTACTAGAGGTCTTTAAACAGAGGCTGGATGGTAATCTGTCAGAAATTCCCTGGTAGATTGTACACCAAGCGAGAGACTGGACTATATGACTCTGAGGTTCCTTTCAATTCTATATTTCTAAGAATTCTGCATTTGGCCATGAGTTTTTAAGGCTGGGTATCTTTAAGCCTCTTTCAATTTCTTCAAAGGGAAAAGTGCAATAAAAAATCTATTCTTGTTGCTATTATTTGTGCTGCATTTTTATTCAAAAGGCAAACTATTAACTAAAATAATAATATTTTCATATTTGTGTATGTCTCTCTTATTGCATATGGGAAATAAACGCACAGCACACACCCATAATACAACTTGAATCTTGGGTTACCATCAATGAAATATCCCGTCCACTCACATTATTCTCACTTCTGAGAACTTCTGGACATTTTCCAACTCTCAAAAGCATGAGCTTTCCTTCCCATGGATTTCTTTCAATTTATACCCTTGCTTTTCTTTTCTTCTCTTGGTAAAAACTTTGGATTTCTGGTGAGCAGTGATTCTGGCATGGCAAGTCACACCACACTGAAGCTGAGAAATGCAGTGTGTTGTTGTACCGTGCTTATTTTCAAAAGATATTCATCAATTACTCTCCTTTGTCTTCTGGTTACACTGGAAAGAAGAATTTTTTTAAAAAAAAGCCAAAAAATAAAATAAAAATTGATTGTACAAGTCCAAACAAATTCCAGGAAAGTTAGATAAGAAAGTTTGAAATCACTGATATACTGAATAATTTGTGACACATCTACTGTAAATGCTATAAAGCCAAATATTTCTGACATTATTTTCAAAGAATAAGAAATGTAATTCTAATACACAGGCTAGATTTTGAACACACAGTATCAGTGCTGGAATAAAGCTTGAAAAGCATCTACTAAACCTATTTTTTTTTTTTTTTTTTTTTATCACTAACTTCTATGCCGCCCTTCTCCCCACGGGACTCAGGGCGGCTCACAGCATGTTAAAAAACAACACAAAAAACATTTCCCCTGTAAAACCAATTAAAAATCAAATATATTAATGGCTGTGTCATTATTAAAATCTTTAAAAATTTTTCCCTATTTAAAATTCACCCTAGGTCAGTCCCGCTTGTTGAAAAAGCCATGTCTTGAGGGCGCGGCGGAAGGTTAAGAGATCCGGGATCGTCCAGATCTCGGGGGGTAGTTCGTTCCAGAGGGTGGGGGCACCCACAGAGAAGGCCCTCCCCCTGGGGGTCGCCAGCCGACACTGCCTGGCCGACGGCACCCTGAGGAGGCCCGCTCTGTGGGAGCGTACCGGTCTGTGGGAGGGAATCTGTGGCAGAAGGCGGTCTCGTAAATATCCAGGTCCTATGCCATGGAGCGCTTTANGGAGGACACCCAAGTTGCGTGCCCTCTCTGAGGGGGCCAGAGTCTCGCCCCCTATAGTCAGCGATGGAGTCAGCTGACTATGCTGGGGCGCCGGCAACCACAGCCACTCGGTCTTGGAAGGGTTGAGTCTGAGTCTGTTCCTCCCCATCCAGACCCGTACGGCCTCCAGGCAACGGGTCATCACGTCAAGGGCATCGTTATATATGTCCAACAAACCTTCCTTCACCTCAATAGCCTCTTAGAAACTTAGACACTGCACAGAGAATTTCAATGGGATAACAAAATATGGTTTGTTCATATTTGATTTTCCAAAGGATACAGTTGTACAGTTCCAAAGGATCCTGGTACTAAAATGTGACTATTTATATATGTGAATAAATCACTGATGTTATCCAAAATGCTCAAACAGAGTGGACAGTTTCAAATTATACTGAATAAATTCTGTGAAGAATCTCAGCCTTTTTATCACTCTTTTCTCATACAATGTCTTCTTCAACTGCAGCTTAGGAATGCTAGTTTCATGCATTTCTATACATACAACCAGAGCCCACACACAAAATACCATTGCCTAAAGAATCCTCTTAGATGTATAAATGTGAGGATGTGTAATTGTATGAAAACTTTTCCTCTTCTGAACTCATCTATCTGTAGGCTGAAGCCATACCTATTCAATTCCTTGGGCAACTAGAGAACGTTTCTGTAATTGATTCCAGAGATGGTAAATGCTTTGGGGGGATTTACCATCCACTTCAGAAGAGACAAGTATCTCCAGTCTTCCCATTAGACAATCTTAGACAAATATCTTTCCATTTTAGAGTAGGTTTAAGAGGTTTTAAAAAATATATAAGGGTATTAATTGTAGAGTATCCTTGATGAAAAATATTATTTGGATTCCTTTCAGTCAAGACTTTGGAATGTCACATTAGTTGTCACATTAGTTGCTTTTCATATTTTTATGGTTGTAAATTCCTAGATTGTTTTAAAGCTGGTAATATACACATCAAGGAATGGAAGGAAGCATCTATCATTTTCCTCTTTCCTTTAAAACAATCTCTTTGAAAAAAATGCCATATAAAATTAAATGTTCAGTTTAGTTTACTTCTCATTTTCTGCAACAGAGAGCAATTGGTAAGTGTCAGGCAATTTGTTATAAACGAGATAGATATTATAACAGCAATCAACAATCACTGATGAATAAGATAACTCTCAGTTAGATTTTAGAAGGCTGTGGTAGAGTAGGACTTGCAGCATCCCAATCAGAGCTATGTCAGTTTTGAATATACATTATAAAATTCTTTTAAAAACAAACAGAACAGTCCCTTAAACCATTATAGATAATAAGGGAGAACAAAATTATTTTTCTGTCTATTTCATTTTGAAAATATTCTACCCTTCTTTAAAAGGATACTTAGATTAAAAATGAAATAAACTACAGCTACCTTTAAGTATGTGAAGAATCCCTTCAGAAGCATTTCAATTCAAACATAAAATAGTAAGAAAGACATGGGGCATGGGCTTCCAGTTCTGGAAAGGACAAGACCTTCAAAGAAAGGTTAAGTTACCAGTTTTTCCACCATGAAAATCTCATCTAATCCTATTGTATGAACTCTGAAATGCTCTACAAAAAAAAGGGGGGGGGAGAATCAAATATTGTCTCAGCAGCTAATCTGCATGGAATCTGGACATGCAGAGAAGGATTTCAAAGTATCTTTCAATAAATTCCTGTAAATATATATTATTTTAACTTCATATTCAGAATATATTGTTTTATACTTAAATCTACTTTATATCATTTTCAAAAGTAACGTCACACTGTTAATGTTCTCTCATATTTTATATATACAAAATGGAGAACATCAAATATCACTGAGCTTATTAAACTTGCAAAATATATTAATACTTATGTGCATAAATTATATTTACTGCTAGAATAGACGGTATTCCATCTAATTATCATTTGCAAGAGGGATTATTTAAAAGTAAGAGGTAACGCTGACCATGTAAGAACCATATTTTAAGTCCTCAACAGCTGCCCTCTACCAGCTCTAAACAATTCAATTAGGACATAAAAAAACAAAAATTCTTTAATCTCAACATGTTTTAGAACATTTGTTTTCAAATATAATTCCATATTGTAAATAAAAAAATTAGGATTTTAAAATACACACATTAGCGTAAACCACAAAATTCTTAGTAAGTCTCTGCTACTAACTGCTAATCCAGCATCCTGATTTATTTTAAGAGTTACATGAGGTTAACTTTAGAACTGGCTTCTAATGTACTTTGTCACCACAGAAAGATTCCCTAATATAGCCTTCTGTTTGATTATTTGCATGTATTAATACAGTATTCTGTTGCTTACTGTTCATTCTATTTTAAATTAAGTAGAAAAGCTTTGTCAGGTTTTTGATACTAGAACTCAGAGAAACCTCTATCTTCATCATGCCTCACATCTCAACCATTCCATGCCAGCGATAGAAGGCAAGCAATTTAAATCACCCCTTGGGATGACTTTACACCTGAAATGGCTGCTTGAGTCAGAGCAAGTCACTAGAACAGGGATAGGCAACCTTGGCTCTTTTATGACTCGTGGACTTCAACTCCCAGAATTCATGAGCCAGCCAGCATGGTTGGCTCAGGAATTCTGGGAGTTGAAGTCCACGAGTCATAAAAGAGCCAAGGTTGCCTATCCCTGCACTAGAATATAAGCTCTTTACTAGCACTGATGAGGTTACTAGCACTCCTTACTGGCATTGATGTTAGTACTAGTTTGGGTAATAAAACGTTTGCAAGAAAACAGCCAAGCTCAGCGAGCACCAAGGACCCCTCATTTCAACCCTGAGCTACAAATATTCCCTTTTATGGGAATATTTCTATTCTAGCATTGATTTTCAGTTCTGTAACAAAAAGTAAGACTTTCAACACATTTTATCTAAGCATTACTTAAAAGAAAACAAATATTAAAATGTAAGGTTCTGCTTTTCATATTCCTACCTTTTCTGGTAAGCAGAAATCAGATTCAGCGATGGGAATATTTTTTTTTTACTTCTTTTATGATCCACATTTTGGAAGGTAAGGGTTGTTCCCATTGTTTTCAAACAAATAGTCTTCAGTGTTTTTACAGCAGCGATTGCTACAGAAACTACAACTCCTGCACTTTTTATCTTGGGAGGATGGACAAAATAAAATAAACTGATAATGCTACAATGAATGATAAAATGATGAAAAGATCTACAGCACAAAAAACAGTGTGAAAAGAAAAACAAGTTTAAATATTGTTGCATAAGAGAGGGATGAAAATAAGACAAGGATGAGAATAAGTAAAATGATAGGCTGGAACATCTGGGAAAGTAAATACAAAAACAAGATAATACTAAGTTAATCTCACAAAAAAAAATCCAACATTTCAAGAGAAAAAAAAAATGTTCCAGATTATATAATTTAATTATATATATAATATAGAGTGTTCCAGGTTGGAGGATGTGCGGGTCAAAAGTCAAAATGGCTATCAAAAACCATTGTCGCTTTTGTACATGTATTTATATCACACCATATACAAAGGGGAGGACTTTGACCATTGTCCTTCCCCTTGTGGAAATTGCTAGATCCCATAGTATTCTATTATTTATGAGAGAGAAAGGCTGTCAGAATGGGGGTTTGTTTCTTCCCATACCAGAAATACACTTAGGTCCATTCTTCCATTATACACAAATGCTTTATATGTAAATAATGGTTGATGATTATTAAAATAATGAAATAAAGACTAACAGTTTTATATGGCCTGAATCCTAGTCTCCTTCCTTATTCTCTTTGGCATCCAATATATTACGTCTAAACATGGCGGTCATTGATAGAACTTTCCTCCATTAAACTGCCTAGAATTTATTTTAAAAACATCTAGGCTATCATTCTAGCTTCTGCCAAAAAAGTCATAAATAAATGAATGAATGCTTGTAATTCCTTTAGGTTAAAAATACAAATAAATCCTAAAAAATAAGCAAATTCTCACGAGACTGCCAAATTTCACCACACTGTAGAATACTACAATCAGGCAATATTTTGGCTTTTTGTTTGTTTGTTTAAAATCAATTCAACAGTTCTAATAGTTTTCAATTTAACAAATCTTTTTGGTTCATTATGCAAATCCTGCAATTTGTATCTAAAAAAAAAAAATCTGCTGGTCTCCACTGCAACATTTATTACTTTAAAATGTATAATGCTTCCTATTTTAAAAATTTCAAAGCAGTGGTTATCTTTAAAATTTACAACCACCTCGCATTCCTACAGGAAAAAGTAAGAGGATGCAAAATTTTAAACAAGCACAAATATGAAGTTTTCCTTGATGTTCATGGGCATGCAATCATTTCTGCTATGTTATTGCCTTGATTTTATTGTGCAATGATTCTCTCAACCTCCAACGATTTTTGTCCTAACAGAGGTCATATTCTGGAATTGAACAAGACCTGAAGAATCAGCTTTGCCCAAAGATACATTCTCTCAGCATATTTTTAGCTGAGTCCTCTTATCAAGTACATCAGCAGTTTAACACTATTATTCCCATGAAAAATTTATGCAAGAGGTCCTTCCTTCTCAATGGCTTTCAGTGCTTATTTTCCTTTTATTACGTTTTGCTTCTGCAGGCTTAGCATAGCTACACGTTTTGGAAGGCCCAAAGGCAAGGCTATTTAAGTCCTATCCACTCCCCCCACCCGCAATATTTTTAGCTTCCATATCCATAATTGTACCTCCCCCTTCTCTTCCCTCCTCCCCCTTCTCTTCCTCCTCTCATTAAGAGTGACTGCTGGAAAGCAGCTGTTCCTGTTCTTATAACCATCATTTGTCCACCCTGAAGAAGAGATGAAAAACAAGTGAACTGTGGCAAAAGTGAAGAGACCCAACAGTACAAGCCAGAGAGCTTTTGCTAATGGATCCATAATGAAACCATGGGTCTTGGCAGGTACTCAATATGCCAAACCATGATACCAATTTGATACAGCTCTAAGAAATTAGAATTAGGCTCAAACTGCTGCTTAGCCTTTTCTATTAAGCCACAGAGACTTCCATTAAGCTGCTCCTTCTGCCATTGTTCTGCCAAGGGTGAAAAGAAAACAACTGTCGTATGTTACTGCAACATCTCAGGCAGAATATGTTTAAAAACTAGATGGCTTACAAAGTAAAAATCTACCTGACTCACTGACAAAGGTTCGTCTGTACTTCGTTCATCCGAAGATTTTGGAACTTCGAGTCTGTCGATAAAAGCTTGGAGCTCTTTCCTAAAGGCCTTCATCTGGGCATTGATCCGATAAAGAAGTTCGTGTTCCCGTATCCTACTCCCATCATCCTCATCATCCATAAGTCCAAACAGATCTCCATTGGCCACATAAATTCTTGCTTCAGTTATGATAGTGCTTGTGTCTGAAATCAGGCGGTCTATAGTCTTGCCCAAGCGTTCTGCCTCACAGCGAATATCCTTCATCTGCTGACGGTCCGTGAAGTTTTTTTGCCATCCTGTAGGTGTTGGATAAAAGGACCTCGTAGGGGTCAAGCAGCGGATGTTTCGGACCTCCTCCGAGTCACTTTCCCCACCAATAGGCCCTTCTCTTTTGCGATGGGGGGGACGTGAATCATCATCGCTTTCTTTTTTCCCTGCATCACTTTCAGCATCGCTGTCCCTGGGGCTGCCTCGGATCCCCAGATGTGAGGCCAGATCATAGCGCTGCATGTTGGACATCAGGACTCTGTTCTCATACTGAAGTTGCATAACTTTACCGCTGAGTTCGTTGATCTGCAGGCGGGCGGCTTTGAGCTCTTCTTGCAAAGCCTCTGTCTTGGCACTGTCATGATGCCTTGAAGTATCGTGAGTCTTGTATTTGTATTTGTTCAACTCTGCTGTGATGCGCTTATTTTGCTCTTCTACATCAGCAAGATTTCTTCTCAATAGTTCTGTTTCATCCTCAACTAACTGCAGATGCTGCCGTAACTCTGAGAGAGATTCATTCTGTTCCCCCATTAGGGGATTGGCTGCCCCTGAGAAATCATCTCCTCTTAAGTCATCAAGTTCTGCCTTCAGCCCTCTGTTTTCTACTTCCAGTTCCACTATTTTCCTTCCCAGGATATTGGCTTCTTCCTCTACTAACCTCAGACGAAGTTTCAGTTCGGCTTCTCTTGTGGTAGGCGGGCCTCCAGCTTCCCCCTTTGGTAAAGGACTATCTAAGTCACCATATAACGACCTATATTTTTGTAGGTCATGTTCAAATCTATCCTTTTCCTTGTCTATTTTGGCCAACTTTTTCCTCATTAGAGCTCCTTCTTCTTTGACAAACTGCAACTGGCATTTCAGATCTTCATTATCCTCCTTACAAAAGGGGAGAAAATCAGCAGTTACTTTATATATAATTAACAACCTTATTTGGCAGTTAAAAAAGAAAACCACTGATATTTACAATAACAGAGGTTCCAAAAACCCATTCTGAGTTTTTCCATGGGTTTTAGCAGAGGCAAAATTCATCTGATTCATATTTCCAACAAATCTGCCTCAAGATTAGACATTCAAGATCAGCCTCATAATATATTCTCAGTTAAAAATCCCAAAGCCTATTCAACAGCATTTAATAATGCTAAACAATATTGGAAACATGTAACAGATGTTACACTTTAACCAAAGAAATATATATATGCACGTACATACACATACACATACACATACACACACGGAAAGAGAGATATCTTTTTTATATTAAAAATCATGTTTGCTACTTATATGATTTATATGTTATAATTTATCTAAAATATAGGATAATGGAAGCAGTTATGTAAAGTAACTGAAATTTTGATATCTTAATTACCGTATGATCCTTGAGAAAAAGGCACTATTATCTAATAATAGCAAATAAACAAGTAGGATATTTTTTCAAGAAGATAAAATCATGCCGTTTTTCTCTTTCCTGTGTAACTATTTCAGACACTCAAATTATTCATTTTAAATGCAAGAAGTTACAATCTCTGTAATTTAAATAACAAATTCAGATTTGTATCTCCAAAGAATGAAATAAATGTAGGTATGATAGAGAAACAGAATTAATGAAGTCAATATAGACCATGAATGTCACAAAAATAACAACAATTTTCCCCCTGTTGAAAACCTGAGTCTTTCCCTAGCTGTCAGTTAGGAACACATAGTTTATTGCAATGTACTAGGGCAGTGGTTCTCAACCTTTTTAATGCCGCGACCCCAACCGGTCGCAAGTCGAGGACTAAACCGGTCGTAAGTCGAGGACTAAACCGGTCGTAGGTCGAGGACTACCCAACCAGTCATAAGTCGAGGACTTTCCCTGCCCGGGAGCGCCGCGCATGCGTGGTTCCGCCCCCTGCGCCGGCCGAGGTGTAGCTGGCAAGCAGCAGAGATGGAGCAGGCCGACCACCAGCTGGCCCAGCCCAAGGGAGGTAAGGCACCCGCCGGAAAAGGGGAAAAAATGGCGGACAAAAAAAATGGCGGACAGCCTTGCTTGGCGACCCCCATGAAATGGTCGATCGACCCCAAATGGGGTCCCGACCCACAGGTTGAGAACCACTGTACTAGGGAGAAAATTAAATATTTGAAATCACCTCAGTGGGAGTCTGCTGCTTTTTTTCTGATTTCTGCAAGTCTTTGCTTCCTCTTCTTTTCATGGACTGCTGTAAAAGAAAAAGATGAAATTAACATTTTACTAAATCTGATGTAATGCAAATCCAATGAGCACATAATTTTTTGCAGCTGATTCACAAGTCCGAAAAACACCACCTTTACCCAATATAATATTAGATTTACATTGAATACATAATGTAACATTATGTCCAAACCAGTGGACCCCCTTTAAATACCTTTTGTGGCCACAAACCGTGGCCTCAGATCCTCAAAACTTAACTCAAGATTTAAATTAGAACATTTATTCAACCTTTGACATCCGCAGACCACAGATTGAGAACTACTGGTCTAGACGTCTATGGAGATTCTCAGTCGTCCAGGTCATAGTTATCCCAAAGATGCTTTTTTCATGAGGCAACTGGACTTTCTTGTTCTTCTTTGAAGATGTTTTGCTTCTCATCCAATGACCAGCTGTCTGCAAGTCAGAGCTGAAGAAGCTTCTTGAATGAGAAGCGAAACGTCTTCAGAGAAAAACAAGAAAGTCCAGTTACCTCGTGAAAAAAGCATCTTTGGGACACTGGTCTAGACATATTTCGAATAATCAAAATATCTGCAAATAGTCAAACAAAAATATCGCCAAAAGACTGGATAAACAATGGCTTAAGGAAACTTTTTCAAAATGATAGGCTCAAGTTCCAGGAAGACTGCAAGAAGGGATATCAGAAAATGTCTTTTAAACTTGAAAGTTCACTGCTTCCTTTCTTTCCCTTTTAGTATATAGGCCTTGAAGGGATGTCATTCTTGGGCCAATCTTTGCTGAAGGGCCTTTTTTTTCTCTAATTCCTTTGTCAACAAGTCAACAAGCAATCATTGGTTGAGGCTAGACTCAGAAGGCATAAAAGGAATCGCTGCCACTCTCCATCATATATCTATTGGTGAACTTGGACATTGACTAGAAATCCCAGCACCTTCCATCCCTCCATTTTAACTGCTGCTTCAACACACAATGTGTCCAATCCTCCCTGCCTTACTCCCAGCACTTTGCATTGGGCCTGAAAAGCTACTGATAATCAATGCAGGGACTTCAAGATTTATGTTTTTCTACAATTTTAACAAAAGTTGCTTTCCTTCGCAGCCTTTCTGTGTTAGAGCCCATTTATTATTTAAACAACTGGAAACTCAAAAGCACATTGTCCAAAACACTCCTGACTGATAGGTTTAGCACCAAAATCTTAAAAGGCAAATTTCCAGTCCCATGGTCACAACCATTTTCTATATAGAGATCCATGCCTCTAAGTCCGATAAATAAAGAACTGAATATGGCCCTTAGATTATCAGACAGTCAAATTAGGCATTATATGTTTATCTCAAATACCATTAAACAACTTTTTTTTCTCACAAATAAAACAGTTATAAACTGGCTACAATCTTGCAGGTTAGTACAAATGCTTTTGTGGGTGTCAATGTAGATTAAAATGCTAGCTAGCCTAATTTAATCACAGTGACCTATTTTCACCAACCACAATTTCCACATGCATTCAGCAATGAGCGTCAACTAGACAGTGCTACACTTGTTTGCACCAAAAACTGGGACAGCAGAAACAATGGTTGCAAAGTGAATGATATAACTGTATTTATTTATTTACTGGACTTACCGTATATGGCCACCAATCCCATATATGTGACTCTGGGTGACTATCAGTATTAAAAATGATTTAAAAATTACAAAAAATATAAAACCCCTAGCAGCCAGGGAAAAAATGCAAAGCCCAAAAACATTAAACATAACCCAGAAATTAGCTCTGTACTTCACTTGAGACAAGCACACATCCAAGTCTTTAAGGCCTTACAGAAGGTCTTTAGGGACATGGCCTGGCTGATCTCCAGAGGAAAAATATTCCAGAGGGTGGAATGTCATGGCATAGCAGGTTCTCTTCCTGGGCCTCACGAGCTGACACTTCTTAGCTGATGGCCCATGGCCTTCCATTTATTTCGGGATTCAAGATCATCCAGACTTTGTAAATCCATGCAATTGGCTATTGCATTTACCTTTTTTTGCAGGGGGGGGGGAGCTTTTTGCCAATGCAGAACCAAAATGATGTCAGGTGAACTTTTCTGAAGAAAGAATTTCAAAGACAAGATGATACAGCTCAAAATTTCCATCTCCTGAAATGTGATTATTTTATTTCAAAAGGCGGCCAAAACAAAAGCAGAGCTTCTAAGCCTGAACTTAATATCCAGATGATTTGAAATGAGAATTTCAAATATAATTCTATAATAAAGACCAATGTATCTGAAATAGATTACTGAGAATAATTGTTTAGACCAGGCACGTTGTATTGGTTATAGGATGTCAGCTTCCAACTGAACATTAGGAAAGATTTCCTAACAATAAGAACAATTCCACAGTGGAATCAATTACATAGACAAGTGATAAGCTCTCCTTGGCTGAATGTGTTCAAGCAAAAACTAGGTAGATATTTATCAGGGCTGTTTTAAGTTGGATTCCTATACTTAGCAGGGTACTGTATTAGATGAATTAAAAGTTCATTTCCAACATCCGGAATGCTTACTTCAAGTCTCAGCTATGGCATACCATGTAATTAAACTGGTCACCTACACTTTTTGTCTTGCCTTTTGCTATCCTCCACTTTTCCTTAGTTCTTAAAGCTTAACAACTCACATCCCTTACTTATCCTTGATTTATCTTAAATGGTCAGTATCTTAAACTATCAGTTCTACACACACACACACACACACACACACGATTCAATGCTTTCAACCTTTTGAAAATAACATTATGCTAATATTTCATCTCTTGTGTGCATGCAGCATGATGCACAGACTGAATAGGTGAAATGTACAACATCACACTCCTTTTATTATTTCTCCTTGTCCTTCCTGTGGATATCTCTGCATATAAAATTGCCCCTCCCCAAAATACTATTCAGAATACTATGTAACACCTTTTTGAGCCATTATCAAAGTAAAACCAATCAAGGTAGTTTGGTTTTATTTTTTCTTTCGTTTCAATAATCACCCTAATGTTATGACAAGTTGTGAAACCAGTGATTTAAAACACTAATCTGTATTAAGTACCACTGAAATCTCTTCCTATCAATCCTAAAACTCTTCCTATCAATCCTTGTATCTGTAAAATCCCTTAAAGATATTAGATACAATTGTTTCCACAATTCCCCAAAGTCCTATTTTCCAATGGAGTAAATATCCCAATATTTTTGTGCTGTAATATTTTCAGGGCAGAATAAGATCCTGATATAGAATCACAATTACAATCATTCTAAATCAAGTTATCATAAATCCAAAGTGTTGGTATCTTTTCAAATTAAGGAATGCTTAAAATTCTTGCATCATGTGTTTCTAATAATTAGGACACTCACTGTCAATCATATTTTAAATTAATATTAAATGTGTCTTCATATTTTTGGGGAAGGGGAAACAAATAATATATGTATCCTTCAAAATAGTGGTGGATGCAATTATCCAAAAAGTGAAACAGGGTCTTAGGTTCAATTAAAATTGTTTTTCAAGACTTTCAATTGGGATAAACGTGGGGAATTTAGTATCACTATTAATCAAAATGCTGAAAAGTCAGTCTGATATAAAAGGTACCGTACTCAACTGGTACTAGGGACAGCCAAGTCGAGTCTGCCATCACTAGGTGATGTAGGACCAATCAGTATTTTTCAGCCCAGCCTACGGCACAAGATAGTTCTTGTGGGGAATGAGCAACCATCTGTTATTCCATTCCTCCTCTTATATTTGCATCCTTGCAAATAATGCTTGCAACAATTTGGAAATGATTGTTTAGAATGGAATAAGAGTTAGTAGGAAAATAACTTGATGCCTACTTAACATATTTTTGCACCCCAAAATAAGGCTGCAAAATAACACAGTTGCAAGAGACCTTGAACATCTTCTAGTCCAGGGGTAGGCAACCTTGGCTCTTTTATGACTCATGGACTTCAACTCCCAGAATTCCTGAGCCAGCATTCTGGGAGTTGAAGTCCACGAGTCATAAAAAAGCCAAGGTTGCCTACCCTTGTTCTAGTCCAACGCCCTGCTCTCTTCCCCTGGCTGTCCTCCCTAAAAACAGAAAAGAGTTCAGTGTCAGCATATGCTAATACCTTACACTAAAGAATTACATACTCATACTTCCAAAGAATGCAAAATACTACTAAGTTGCCCAATAAGCCCATTGAGACACACAGGATCTTTTTGTAGATCAATGCTTTGCCATCAATCACTTCATGGAAATGATGAAAAATTCAACTACTCTTCTAATAATTTTATTAACTATACTAGAAGCAATTATAGAGAGGTCATGAAATATTCATTTTGCAGTACCATAGCTTTAATCCTGAACACATTTCACCCACATTTTCACTCTAAGAACAAGAGTCCTGCAATCTGCTTGAATAATTAACATTTTAATTATTATAGTGTGGCTTTCTGTTGTACTTATTCTATTGAAATCACAAAGGGAACAAATATAAAGCCAGCTAACAAGGTAATGTCCCATATCCTCAAGATGTGGTACAGGTTCCTTCATGTAGAGCTGATATTACGACAGCTGATATTGAAGATAAAGTATTCCTCAACTTATGGCTGTAATTGAGCCTGGAATTACCATCATAGGTTGTTGCAGTCATAATTTGAGGCATCATGTGACCAGATTCGAAGTTACAATTGTTCTTACGATGGTCATTAAGCAAACATAGTAGTCATTAAGCGAGTCCATTTTCCCCAACTGACAAAAACATTGCAAATCATAATCACATGACCCCAGGAGGCTGCAAACAGCTGTTAAGGTGAGCTGGTTGCTAAGAGCCCAAAATATAACCACGTAACCACAGGGTGAGTATGCCCATTGTAACTGAAAACGGGTTGTAAGTAGGTCTGGGGGTGTTGCTTGTAACTTCAAACAATTGTTAAGCAACCAGCAGTAAATTGAGGACTGCCTATAACTGCAATCTAACCAAACAATTAAGGAAAATCTATATTAAAATATTAAGACACCCAAATATTCCATCAATTGTCCCCAACTCTTGAAAATAAAATTCCTACTTTTACTCATGACAAATATATTGGGGATTAAGATGGAAAATGCTATCATCAACTGCTTATTTTTTACCAAGCTTTACTAGATCTGTATTATTAGTGGCTTCCTTTTTATTTTATCTCTATATTTTACTTTAAGAAACTAAATGGCATAATTTCTCCATATGAAATCTTGGGACATTCTCTAAATGTCATGTAGAAGAAAAGTTTTATAAATTTAACTTGCACAATTTGTATGGACTTGTCATAATATAGTTAATAAACCATGTCGATCAAAATAAAATTAGATATTTAATTAGCAATTATTATCTTGCTCACCCTTCTACCAAGTATCACAAATAATCAGAAAGGACAGAAGATATAAAGGCTGACAACTTGAAAATTCCAAACACTGATATTTAATTAGTTGTACTATCTAATCCAGTGTTTCTCAACCTTGACAATTTTAAGGCATGTGGACTTCAACTCCCAGAATTCCACAGCCAGCAATGCTGGCTGTGGAATTCTGGGAGTTGAAGTCCACATGCCTTAAAATTGCCAAGGTTGGGAAACACTGATTCTAATCCAATGGTGATATATTAAAAAAGAGGTTGATATTTAATTTCCCCAAACAAATAAGAGCAAGGCAGATAGAAGTTACCACACTCTATTAAATCCTGAATGCTAAAATATAGTGTTTTGTTTTCCAAATGCTGTCCTGTCAATAGCCAGTGCATTGACTGCTGGCGATAAACAGAAAATGCCTTCAAGGAATAGGCAGAATAGATCTATCAATCAATTATTAAAAGGGGGCTGTGTGGGCAGACAAGACAAAGTAGAAAACTATTTGTACTTTTTAATGCAGATATAAAACAAACTTGGTTTTGCACCAGTTCAATAAACAGAAATGATTAACAAGTGCTGTATGTTAACCTTCCCAGTATTATCCTATTTGTCACTGATTTCTGAATTATGTTACAAACTTCTATTGACAATTCAGTAAGTCTGTGAGACCCTGAAGTATAAAATATGACTAAAGAAGCAACAAAAAATGCAATCCTTCACCATTTCATTGGCATTCTCAAAATCCAATATATGTGTTTCAAGAATTTCGATGGATCAAAATTCTGATCACCATCCATGGTTGTACAGATTGATAGATGTATCATAAACCCATCTGTATAACAGGGATGGAAACATGTTTACTTATTCAAATTGTGTATACTGTCTTCACAATTTGAAAAATCCAAGGAATTGGCCTCTCTGTCATACATCACCACATGTAGATGATTCCCAAAGATGAAGATGACAGCAGAAGAAATAAAAGATCTTGAAGAATATAAATCCTTGCAGATGTGTCAGAGCAAATGAAGCAAAATATAGGCAATGCAGCTAGAGACAGATCATTTTTACAGCTCTTTCTTTTTGTTGCTATCCATAAGAACCAAAATAAAATATTTAGTTTTTGTCATATTAACAGCAAATAATGGAAGCCACAAACCATCATTGGCTTATGATTCATAACTAAAGGCAAACTGCTTTTTAAAGGCTAGATTTCATGACCGTAAAGAATGAGACAATATCAATCGTGGACAGCCTCTTCAAGTTCTATTCAGTAAGCTAATGCCTACATTATAAAATCAGACACTTCATGTTGCAAATCTCACAGACACTTCACCTCTGATCTAATGAATACAATAAATCAACAATCAGAACAACTGGTAGAACTCACATGCAGTACAGGGATAGTACCTTAAAATAAAATAAAATACTATACTAGCACAACTGGACCTTATATTCTCAAAACTTAGAATATCGGTTATTGTTTCTTCATCCCCAAAAGGCATCTCAGTACTTGATAATAGGTTCCTTCATCCCATCAAGACATCAATACAGGCTCAAGGGATTGAAACTAACTTTTCTTTCTCTTCTCCTTCTTTGGTGTCTCATTTACTTTCACACCAAATGCTCACTAGAACATGGAAGATCACATATCACTTTTATGATCTTCAGCTGGCTTAAAAGGGATAATGTTCTACTATGGAGTTTAAAACAAACAACTATTCTAAAGAAAAGTAAAATTAAACGACCCCCATTCTTCCAGTTAAATATGCAAAAGCTTCCTGATCCAGGAATGGATGCAGCTGGCATACAACTTGAACCTGTACAAAGGCCCTCCTAGCTATGACTGCCACCTATTCTGCAAGGAGTCACAAGTCCAGAAGGATGCCCAAAATAGATGGCAGGTCTGTCTGGGAAAATGCAACCCCATCCAGAATCAAAGATGGTAAAGCCCCACATCCAGGTGGTTATAAAACCCAAAGCCATTCCATCTGTCATACTCCATCTAAAACCCTACAGTCTGTAGACATCAAAAGAAAGATGTTGGCGGCATCACTTACTTCATGAGGGATGGATATATATAGTTAGGTATCATCAGCATACTGATCATACCTCTCCCAATGGCTATGAATGACTTCACCCAGTGGCTTCATGTTGACATTAAATTGAAGCGGAGAGAGTACTCGCTCTCCAATACCCCACAATTTAGGGGCCGAGGTCGGGACCTTTTATACCTAATCAACATCAACTGAAACTGGCCACTGAAAAAAAAAGAGAATCAACTCAATACATTGCTGCCTAAACGCCCCCCCCCTAGCTGGTCCAGAAAAAAAAACCACGGTCAATGGTATTGAAGACTGCTGAGAGGTCAAGAAGAGCAAGGATGGATGCATTATTCCATCCTGCTCTCGCCAGAGGTTATCAAAAAGTACTATCAAAGTTGCTTCAGTCCTATAGCCAAGCAGAAACCTGACTGGTGTTGTACAACCATCTTCTCAACAATCTTCCCTAAAAAAAAAGAGATTGAATACGGGATAAAAATTCTCCAGAATAGTTCACTGAGGATTGGTTTCTTGAAAAAAGGGCAGGCCAATGTTTTTTAAAGGGGCACTGGCCTCATCCCTTTTTAAGGAAGAATTTATCATCACTGAAACCCAACCACAATACCTCCCTGGAAGCTTTTGACAACCAAGAGGCTGGATGTAATAAGGAGGTGGTTATGCTCACAATCATAAGGACTTTTCCTGTTTCCTTGGACCCAATAGGTTTGAACTCCACCCAGATAACGTGGCAAGACTGTCCCAGGCACCTGCACCAAGATGAGCATGCAGTTGGGAATGAATCCCAGCAATTTTGTCTGATAGTATATCTCAGAATTCCCTCCATCTTTTATACCATTTTAGGCTGGTCACCCTAAACAGGTCCGCTTGAGGTCAGTCATCTGATGATCTGCCATCCTTACTGACACAAGGAGAGCCTTAATAGAAGCTCTTAGCCCTGTTCACGCTAGTTCACTCTTTTTCTCCACCAATGGTATTCTTGGTATCTCTTAATCCACTTCTCCTCCCTCAACCCTTCCATAAATCTACAAAGTGATGAGATCCACAAAAGGAGAGAGGCCACATGGGCACAATCTAATAAAAGGCCTCTTTCACTTTCCTATTCCAGATGAAAATCAGAGCCTCAAGAAGACCATACAACAGACCTTCAGGAATAATTCCCAGCTCTTTGTAATTCCCTCCTCCAAGGTCCATCAGTCCTGGGGTGGACCATTGGATTTGGTCCATCTCCCTGCAGTGGGGAGTACACTAGAATATTCCATGATTATCAGGGCATTATCTGATCAGGACAGGGGAGCCACAGAGAGTTCCCCAAATTTCCAGAGCATATTGCCACTACTCCAAGAAGAAACCCAGATCAGGTGTATGACCACTGTCTCGTGTTGGGCTCTATATGACCTGGGATAGGTCCACAGCTGTCATAATAGCCATGAACTCCCAGGTCCCCTCAGATTCTACTCCCAAGGAAGGCAGATTGAAGTTCCCCCGGTAAATGGAATCAAGGAACTCAGGCAGATAGGCAGTTATGCAGCAGGGAAGGTTTTACAATAGCAATACTCCCGATAAATTGTTCAGTATCACTAATCCTATGACATTCATGCATTTTTTTACTTGTACTTAAAAGAGTATCCTGGGTTAAAGACCATAATTTTATACTTTTTGAGCAACATTTTTTTGTCTTTATTTTTTCTGGAAAACAAAAGCCATTTCTCACAACAAGACTCGGTGATTCTCATTTCAGAAACAGATAAAATGAATTTTAAACAAATAAATATAAAAAGGCTGAAATGGCTCATCCTTGTTGTTTAGGAAAATATTTAGTTTTTCAAATTTCGTCCATTTCTATGCAGTTTTGGATAGCCTTGGATGCTATGAACCTTGTCCATGCATCTTCATTAATTCTTAAAAGAGTGCTTATGAAATTCAGAGAAACAAACTGATAATATTACTCAATTCAAATTGATAATATTACTCAACCAACCTCTTTCATTTTCTCAAGTTCATTTTGCAGAGCTTGCTTTGTTATTTCTACTTCTATTAATTGCTGTCGTAACTTTTCATTTTCATCTTCTGTGGTGGTGCGTTTTTCTTCCACATTTTCCAGCTCATGATGAAGTCTTACAGAAACATCTTTTGCAACCTAAATGGAACATGATTAGAAACTTACAATACAGCTAATTATAGTCATACAATTATAGGAACTTATATTTAGCAAACAAAAATTGAAATGGCATAGATATTGTATTATAGAAATAAGTAGTTATATTTCAGTTATATTTCAATTCAATTCTGCTATAATATCAATATATTATTTTCCCAGTGATTTAAAAAATGGAAATATTATAGAGGTTCAGTTTGAGCATATAGGAATTATTTGATAATTTTTACAAAATTAGAATCGGAACAATGATTATACAACTGAAGTGGCACTGCACTTGGAATTTTCAAATCAAGGACCAAACCCTCTTTTCATTATTATCACTGGATATAATCTAACCAAAATTTAAATCTGAAATTCTTATCAGTAAAATATTCTCAGTAACAAATTGACCAAGCATATAGATAAGTACTACTTTTAACAGATAAAAATCATTTTATTTATAGATTTAAGAAGCTCTCATATGTATTTATTTTTTACAATGCTTTGTTTCTGGTATACCACTATAAGATGGAATACTTATGAAGTATGTGAAAATGAGTTGTCAATTTGTTTATTAAATTAGAATATATTGTTTAAAATGTCAATGTGTATTTCTCAGATTTAGTGCTTTCGCCACCATACACATTGAACAATACTTCAAACAATTAATTAAAAGACAATTATCTGTAACTGTAACACTTGACACTCCCTTCAAAATTTAACAGACTGTTTCCTGATTTAGGTCTAGACCAATTATAATTCATTTTTTAAGAAACATTGACAGTCCTAATTTTATTCTATCTTTCCCCCTCAAAATAATAGAACATAGCTCAAATTCAAGCTATATTCATGTGTATAAACAAAGAAATATGCCATTTTGTAAGGTGAAAGTATCTAGGCAAACTATTTTATTTATCTAGGCCTTCTCTCTTTACCACAATGATCAATGTGGTACTCAGTAGAACTAATTTATGCAAGTCACTGATGTTACCTAGTTGGGTAATAAAACTTCTTCAAGAAAACAACGAAGCTCAAAAAGCACCAGGAATTCCATGTTTCAGCCCTGAACTATAGATAATTATCTTCCATTGGAATCCAATTATCATCTCATTTTTGTATGCTGTTTGTCAAATTTATTTGTCAAAAATTTAGATATTGCACATCTCACTCTCAGAGTGGCTATGTGTTAGTGACTCTATATTAGTTATTTATCTATTAACATCCAGATAGCAAATTTAAGCCAGACTTACAATCTGGTCAAACACCCATCGTGTTAGCCTCACTTTCAAGAGCACTGATTTCTACCTAGGTATGCATGAGAATGCTGTTTTGATCTAGTTCTTTTAGATCAAATGCAAAAAAGAAAGTATTGGAAGCAATCATGAAATTTTTATTTGCCAGAAAGATGCAACTGTGATTCATTTGCTTTTCAAAGAGCTATCAATGAAATGCTAGTAATCATCATAAAAATCATTTAATTGTCTTGACAGTCTTACTACAAAAAGACCATAAAA